GGACATCATCTAATTGCATTAATTATGTTGCTTGCTTAGTGTAATCAGATATTAATTTTCCATTTTTAATATAAATAAAACCACATTATCAGACTTTTTTATCTTTAATTCTCAAGACTGATTTGAAAGCACAGTCAGAGACCTTGAATGGCATAAAAAGTTTTTTACTTCAATATGACGTGTATAACAACAGCAATATCTGTCCTCAGTGGTGCTTCAGCAAGTCTTAGTTTTGGGTAGATACTTATTTTTTCTAAGCTTCCTTAGACAGAGCACAATAAAATTCCAAGCAGTTAAAGCAATTTTAGGATGAAAATGCTACAGAAAAAAATAATATTTCTTCATATCTGAAGATTTTTAATCCTTTCTTGTTCAGTGTTGAAATTTTTAAATGTAATATCCATCTGTAACACCAAGCTGGTCTATGGATTTGGAGACACAATTTACATTAAAATAAATATAATTCTTTCAAGTCTTAATATAATTTATTTTAGTTAAGTGGTTTTTATTTCCTTTTAATACTACTTGTTCCACGTTTTTATATAAACAGATCATCTTGCTTAGTTGATATTTTAGATATTTTATTACAGATGCAACTTATTTAATAGCTTTCTGAAATACCAGTCCTACCTTCCACTTCTGGTACCTCTGAATTTATAAAGTTCTATTTCCATTTCTGTTTGATGAATGGTAATTATTTTGTTGAAAGATACCACTGGAGACAAAAAGGTAAAAAACTGTTCTTGTTTAGGAATTAACTGTTTGATTTCAAAGGCAAACTTGAAGAAAAAAAATTCTACAATTTACGAGCTATTCTGATGGCAGTTATGTGTCCCTAAAAATACTGTGTTATATGTAAACTGAATGATTTATTACTGTGCTAGGAAACATTAATAATGGTACTTGGCAGCAGTAGTATATCTATAAAAAGAACCTAAGCACAGCTACTGTAATTAATAATACAAAATCTACATCCTCATAAACTAATCTTTTTAGGATTTTAGTCAATCTTGTGAGTGCCATTGTACAGTGACATCACTTTATCATGGACACAGACTACTCAAATACTTTCAGGTGTATACCATTTTGCCTGAAACTCTGGGTAGTAAGTAAAGAAAATAAGAGTCTTCATCCAGAGATTATTCTGAGAAGCAGAGTTAGCAAATATATACATTTATCAGGTAAATGTAATTTTGTTGTGTAGTAAAAGGCTATTATTTTTGAAGACCAGAATTTGAAATAAAAACACCGATTTAAAATGACATACCATTTAATATTAATTTTTAACCTGTTCATGTTTCTATTTACAGTTTAAGATTGTGAAAACTGAAAGCATCACAATAACTTTTCCCCCCTACTTCTTACTTTATATATTTTAAGTAATGTCATAGAACTGGTTTCAATGTTTCCTCTTTTCTAGTGAACTCAGCTCTTCTTATTAATCTCAAATGTCTTTAGCAGATCCACAGAGGAAAGAGTAACCACATAGCACTATAAAAAACTATTATATGTTTCTGAAATAAGCAAATTCATGAGGAGGTATGGAAACCCAAAATCGTTATAATACTACAAAGTTAAAAGAGTGGTTTTTTTCTTTTATTTTTCAAAGCGGGTACATAACTTGAACATACAAAGATTCTTGATCTTTACCTCAAAGTTATAGGAAGAGAATAATAGTTATTCAGCCTGAATCTAAAATATTAATTTCTTTCCTCATTTCAATGGTATTCATGTATATTAAATTTTTCCAGTCAGTGATTTCACAATCTGTCAAGCACTTCATGGCTGCTATGCCAAAAGTAACATTTTTCTTTTTCCGTATCTATAGGGAGTAATAAGAGGCAGAGAGGTTTGTAGGGTTTTTTTATGCTGCAGAATTATATAACAATCTTGAAAATGCATAAGTCTGCTAAGAGAAAACCTGGTGAATAGTAAGTTTTGTTACAATAACTGCGAGTCAAATTTCAACAGATTGTAAAAAAAGCTGAACTGAATTAAATGTTCAGTGATGCTGCCTCTATCAGGACTTGCTCTTTAAATTTAAAATGGATTTAAAGACAATATTATTTAAAAAGATATTGACAGAAATTTCAGAAAACATACCAATGGAGACATAATAATTAAAGCAGGAACAAATGGAAATAACTGGAAACTTCTGCTGGGATGGGTTGTAACCCAAGGTGTGGATGGTGGGTTGACCACACTTTGCCTTTTCTAGAGGATTTTACCAAATGAAGAGTCATTAACTTCTGAGAAGATTTCAGAGAATCTCCCTGTGTAAATGGCTGGGATGAAGTGCTGGATGATCACTCCCCTCAGTCATGAGTGCTCCCTTCCAGTTCAGCCTTAGCTTGGGAGAAATCACTTCTGCAGAGCCCCCAGAAGAACAAAGCACATGTCCTGCGACTTCAGTATCTCACTGGTAAATGCTAGGGTGGGCCTGCAGCATGGGCTTCACTCTGAACAGGGTTCATTTATTAATCTACAATTAACTGACTGACAAAAAGCCACAGAAAACAAAAATTAATGAACAGCGAATCATAAAAAACCTCTGAGCTGGAAAAGACTTCAAACATTATCTAGTTTCAACCCAACCCTCCTGCCATCAGCAGGGACACCTTCCACTAGACCTGAATGCTCTAAGCCCCAACCAGTCTGGCCTTAAACACTTCCACAAATGGGGTATGCACAACTTCTCCAGCCTGTTCCACTGCCTCACCACCCTCACACTAAAGAATTTATTCCTAACATCTCTCAGTTAAACCTATTGTCTTTCTACTTCAAGCCATTATCCTGATCCTATCACTACAGACCCTTATAAAAAGTTCCTCTCTAGCTTTCTGGTGGCCTTCTTGAACTACTGAAAAGCTACAATGAGAATTTCCACGAAACCTTTTCCTCTACAGGCTGAACAAACCCAGCTCTCAGCCTGTCTTCCTAGTGTTCTTCACAGAGGTGCTCCAGACCTCTGGTCTTCTTCGTGGCTTTCCTCTGGACTCATTCCAACAGACCCACCTCTTTCTCGTGCTGATGACCCCAGAGCTGGATGCAGCAGCCCAGATGCAGTCTCATGAGAGCAGGCAGGTACAGAATTCCAACCCTTCTCCCACTGTCCATGTGCTTTGGATGCAGCCCAGGACATGTTTGGTTTGCTGGTTTGTGAGGGTGCATTGCCTGGCTGGTGCAGTTTCCAGAGTCCTTCTCCTTGTGGCTGCTCTCAGTCTTTTCTCTGTGCAGCCTCTATTGGTGTTGGGGTTGCTCTGACCCAGGTGCAGGATCTTGCACTTGGCCTTGTTGAACTTCTGAGCTTTGCATGGGCCAATTTCTTAAACTTGCCAAGGTCCATCTGGATGTCATCCTTTCCTTCCAGTGTGTTGACTGCACCACACAGCTCAGTGTTGTCAGCCAGCTTGCTGAGAGCACCCTCCATCCCACTGTCCATGTCACTGACAGAGATGTTGGACAGCTCTGGTAACAACACTGATCTCTGTGGGACACTCCTCACACTTGTCTCTGCTTGGACATGGAGATCTTTGAGCGTGACCATCCAGACAATTCCCAATCCCCTGAGTGGTCCACACAAATCCATGACTCTCCAGCCTACAGACAAGAATGTTGTGTGGAATAGTATCAAATGCTTTGTACAACTCCCTCATCTACCAAACTGTAATCCTGTCATAGGCCACCAAATTTGTCAGGCAAGGTTTAGACCTTAGTGAAGACATGTTGGTTGTTATCAGTCACCTCCTTGGTTTTCAGGTGTCTTAGCAGAGTTTCCAGGAAGTTCTGCTCCATGATCTTGCCAGGAACACAAGTGAGACAGATCAGTCTGTAGTTCCCCAAGCCTTCCATTTTACCTTTTAAAAACGGGGGTTGAATTTTCCCTTTCCCAGTCAGAGGGAACCGCGCCAACCTGTCCTCTTTCAACACTCATTTACATTTGAACTAGGGATTTGAAATACTATACTTTCAGTGGTAGATACTTAAGTTGATGTGGAACCCTAAACTCCATTATTTTGTTGTGTGTGCCAAACTCCCAGGCAATAATTCGCAGTGAATATTTTCACATTTATCTTCTAGCTAATTTAAAAGTAATAAAATCAAATGCATTTGTTGCATATATGTTTTATTTGATTTTTCTTATTTATGATATTGCTGGATAGTATCCAAATCACCCAGCATTTTCACTACCTCAGATGCTCAACAAGGGTTTGACCATGAATACATCTACAAGTAATATGAATTAGCCATTCCAAATGTCCAGTCACTAACCATAGATGTGGAATTGACAGTGATAGCTTGTCAGCTGGACACGATGCTCATAACAGTAGTTTGGAACATAAATGATTCTGTGACTCTGTGATACTTTCAAATTTTCCTTATACTAAAGAGTGATAAAGAATGTCATACTGCAAAAAGAGCTTCAGGTTTGATCTTTGAGACCAATGCACTGTTCTCTGTGAAATATTGCAGCAATATTGCAGGATTTTCTGGCAGGCATTTCTGTTGCACTGGGAAAGATGTTGTAATGCACAAAGCAGGCTGGCCACTGAAGCAGAGTAACCAGCTGCTGTGATGGCTCCTTCTTGGAAATGGTCATCAGCTGGGAGCAGCTGTTATGATTAAAGTCTGCCAACACGTAACTCTTAGTGCAGCAAGACCATCCTGACTGTGAGCTTTGACAGAGATATTTAAGAGTTACAGAAATCCTTTGTTCAGAACAAAGAAAATTTAATTAGTAATTTAAAAGATGCTGGAGAAAGACTTTTTTATGAACCAAATTCCATATGCTGGACATCCAAACTAGAATTGAATTTTAATTTATTCCTCCTTTGTAGAAGACCAGCTTGAGTTCAAAGATGATCTAGCTGTAGGAAATTGTCTCAGTATTAAAAATCAGTTTTTCCAGTACAGGGAAGAATTTTCAGGATCCCAAAACTAAATAACAAATTTGCCACTATCATAAAGCATGTGTTCCATGTAGCTTCAAATGTTCAATGTTAATTAGAATTTACTAGTGGCCGAGAACTGGTTGAATCATATTTCCTGGAGGAAACTTGTGCTGCATTAGCAGAAAGGTGATCGACTTCAATAGGATGGTATAACCTGCAATGAAAAAAAAATATTTAAACATTTGCAAATATCTTTAAAACCCTATCCTTACTGAAAGTCATGGGCCTAGGCAAAGTAGTCTGGAGGAAACTCCTGATTTAAGGAGGATAACTTCATTCATCCTCGAGCACTTAGGACATGTATTTTGTTGATCTTCTATTAATTTCAACTGAACTGTAGGTCTAGTGATAAATTCTGGAATGATCTGAATGAGAAATTTCCAGTACTAAAGGACTGGAAGGTGTCTAGTATTGCAATTTTTTTTTTTTTATTTTTTTTATTTTTTTTTTATTTGTTCAATAGGTCAGGGCAATGCAGCAAGTCAGGGCATTATTATCCATTGGAGCAAATAGATAGAATCTATTCTAAAGAGTGAGGAGTTGAGATTGTTGTATTGATGCTGATGATGAATGTGTGTATATAGATATATATTTATGATTCAATTATATTAAAAATACAGTTTGCTGAAGAAGTTACCTACAATGTGGACAAGGAAATCTGGCACATGTATTTTGTGCAGGCTTAGGCCAAAGAACAGTAAGTACTCTCATAAGAGGCCCTTTCAGAGTCCCAGAAGGAACTGGAAAGAAGGGGGAAATGAAATGGAAATGGAAATGAAATGGAAATGGAAATGGAAATGGAAATGGATATAGGAGTGGAAGTAGAAGTAGAAGTGGAAGTGGAAATTAAGTGGGTATGAAGTAGAAACCATCCTCATGCTGCTGTACAGATCCATAATGTTTCTGACTCTTGGACAATGGGTAAGAAAGACAGGAAATACATAATAGAATAGCTTTTTAAAAAGTGATAAAGATAGTAAATAACTCAGTTTATTACAGGGCCTGGAAAAAAATAAAATACAATCAGTAAGTTAATCATCAACTCAAAGACAGGCATGGAAAAACTCTTGAGAATTAAAACTAGTATCAGATTTCTTACTCAATTTGCCAATAAGGGGAGTACATTTCCACTGTATTTTAGAAAGACATCAGCATCTAACATAGGTATTTTCAGTCTCCACAATGAGACCTTAACCAAACAATAAAGATATTTTCTTTCTCTACTATTTATTTGGGAACTTTGTCAATACACTTGAGTTAGATCTCACATTATTTGTCTGAATAATTTTAATCTAATAACCGTAACTGAAAATAAAATATTAAAATAAAAGTAATTGCTATAAGATTTTGTATTTGTTTTACTCACAGAAGTCTACTGTATGTAGTTTTACTGGTTTTTTGCAATTTGTTTTATTTTCTCTTCTTTAATTGTTTAAAAAGAGGAAAAAAACCTTTCAAAAATCTCTGCTGCTTTCAAAAGTGGGCTCAAATCACATCTTCTTCTGGATAAGTGTAACTCTTCTAATGAAGTTTCCATAGCAAGCTCCCTGAGATAAGTTTTCAAAACTATCATCACATGAATGGATTCACATCAGCCCACAAAAGTACTTACACAAATTCCTGAAGACATCAAACCTAAACAAAAATGCAAATAAAGTATATTTGTAATGTATAGCTTAGGGAAAGGAGAGTACAGCATGGGAATTTCTGCAGAGGATCAACATTTAGTTATCTATATCAGACCTTTTCCAAAATCTGTGTGAGGTTGCATAAATCAGGTCCACAAAACCCTGAGTGGTGTGGTAATCATTAAGTTTAAGATATAGAGGAAACTGCATTATCTTTGTTCTGACACCTCCTATGACTATAAAGAATATTTTGTCTTCTTTTCTTTCAAGCATACTCCCTTCCCTACTCCCTGTCCTTTCTCTCCAATCTTAACATTTCCTGTGATAAATCAATCTCCTGAAAGCTCCTCAGAGGGAAAATCTGTGAAGCTAGGAGAGGTTTAGTTTTCAACATCCCTCCTCCAAAACTTAGCCTCATCAAGTGGTTTTGCATCTCACCAGCAGAAAGTCCCTGGTAGGCTGTAAAGGGGTTTGATTTTTTGCAAATAACAGGTGACAAGCATCAGATAATCTTTATAAATGGATTCAGGCTGTGTTCTTTCTGAGCTGAGAGATAGAGAATGTCTTTAACACAGTGAAAAAAAACCAAAACAGGAGTTAGAAATACTGCTATCTTAAAGTTTAAGCTTTTTAATCAAATAAAAAACTGTGGGATGAAAGAGACAGGAGTAGAGAGAGTGAAAGTGTTAATGAGGACAAACATAAGAACAGTTAATTAAGCCAGGCAAGACTGCAGCAGGAGAAGACATGATATGAGACATCATTCACTGGTGTTATTATCACTGAAACCCACCCCCCAGAAAAAAAACAGAATAACGTGCATAGCCTTACCAAGTGATGACAACTCTCACTGGCACAGGACACTTTTCTGACTGATGTGAGGCATACTTTTTTTCCAGGTAATTTCTACACTGAGAGTCTGATCTTGTGCTGCAGCAGATTGTCTGCAGTCTGCCTGTTCTAAAGCATTTCGGCATTGGAGGCTTATGTAAAGGTTGCCAGCTAAGTTATACCGGAATTCAGAAACTCAAGAGGCTGAAGAAAATATGTCTTCTGCTCTCTAAAATTTGGATAGGTTTCACCAACTGCTCCCTAGTGATAATGTGTCAGGTAACTAACTTTAGGGTGGAGGGCACAGATGTTTTTTGGAAGCAGAAGTTTACCTGATCTCAACCAGTAAGAAATTATTAATTTGAACATTTTCACGTGGCCAATTCCTCTTATTTTTAATCTTTTACTAATATGTGGCAGGACAACACTGAAGAGATTCACCACTGGAGCTTTCTTCTGATCAGCATAGGACTCGTTTGAAGTGTGCATCCTTTGCCATGCAGTAGACTTCATAATCATAGATCACAGAATCATAGAATGGTTTGGCCTGGAAGGAACTTAAATATAATCTAGCTCCAACCCCCATGCCATGGGCCTGAACACATTTCAGTAGACCAGGTATCTCAGAATTCCATCCCACCAGGATGAAGCCTTAACTGAAGTTTTGCAGCATTCAGCCTAGGAATAAAGGCATTGATCACAGTCCAAGGTTAGAATGTATGCACAGGTGTATTCCTCTTCATTTATTTTCTAGGTAAATTAACACCTCCTTTTCCCTGCTTTTAATTTGGAACCATTCCCTTGTAAAGGTTCTTGCAGAGTAGTAAGTATGTTCTTGGTACTTGCTACCTGAAATAGTTTCGCTATACCTTCATGGATGTTTATAGTCTCTCAAGTAAGTGCAGCTATAATAGCCAAATGTATTATATTTCAAAGAAATGAGTTTTCAGCCTGACCAGGCATATTCTTGAAGATATAGCAAACAACTGTTAGAAAGAGGAAAAGACAAAAAGGAGAAAAAAAGAGAGGATGAAAAAAAAGAAACAATAAAAAAATAAAATTAAAGAGTTAGGGGAAAGAAAAAGAAAAAGAAAAAAAGAGAAAAAAAAGAGCATGATAGGAGGGGAAAGGAAAAAAGGAAAAAAAGCAGCAATTCTTTTTATATTTCCAAACAGAAATATTCTGACTTTTCTCTAAAAAAGAAAAAAAGTCTTTGCTTTGGAATGTTCTGAAATACACATTCTGTGTTTTAGAAAGTAAATAATCTCCCAACTAAAAATATTTGACTTTGAGTCAAACCAATTTCTTGGTGGATCAGAAAAAAAACCCCCACTTTTATTTCATTTAGCCAAGGAAAATGTAACTTCAAGAGAAATAAAAAATAATTCTTCAGGCAGGGCAGAGAAGGGGAAACAGTTATTTTCACTTGTTTGTTTGCTAGCCTTTTAGAAACACTCTTCTATAGTCAGTCTTACATATCTATGCTTTAGATAGCATGTTTACAAAGCAGTCCAAATTTTTTTTTCTTTCAATTAACCCCTGTGCCATGGAAATTTCCAGTAATCTTTTTTCACAATTCACATTCTCACTTAATCATCATCTCACTCCCTACAGGTTTTGCCATTATAAGGGAATGCTGCCTTCTGCAGTAAATCTTCTTTTGGTGAGCATGAATCTGCAAAAGCAGTTTTTCTCACTTTTCTGGCCAGTTTTTTGGAGTAGCCTCCTTGCCTTCCCTTTCAACCTCTCTTGGGATGAAAAGTCTCTTTCTTCCAAATTCCTGGGGGCTGAGGTGGTCAGACAGCTTATCTCCAGTGGCATGGATCCTTCCCAAAACCCTGCTAATTTCCTGAGAGATAAGTCTTCAGAGACACCTGCTAGTTTATGTGTGTCACTGCTTTCCTCCTGCCTGTGGGTGAGCAGGGGGTTCTGCTCTTGTCACAAGGAGAGCCTGTCAGATGTGGGGGTGGCAGCATGATGGGAGGCTTCACAAGGGGCTTGTTAGAGGTGTGGGACTTTATTCACAGAATTTTAGACCTATACAGAGTCATGAGTTAAAACAACCCATCTGAACGTACACAGTATTGTGTGAAACACACACTGCTGAGATTTTTGCAAAGATCTGCTGCTATTACTACATCAAATACCAGCTTTTCCAGATTACATCATATGCTAAATATTGGCAAAATCAAAGAAGTTTACTTAACATAACAATTCTTTGTTGTTAACAAGGTGGTGGTGCAGCATATGGGGAAAACATCATTAAGAAGGAATGATGTAAGTAGCTCTGGGTATCACAGTGGTGATCAATGCTTGACTTGCTCAGGGTGTGCCACAGCTGTCAGGATGAACTGCATAGTGGCAATAACTACACAAACATGAAACAACACAGGATAACATACCTCATTTAAAAAAGGAATGCAAAAAGTGACCTTATGAAACCAAAATATATACACACATCCTCCAACATTATCTTATAAATAGAATTAAATAGCCCCAGAAGAAAATTGAAGTGAAGCACTGATGAGGTTAAAAATTCCTACAGTTCTTGCAGTGAACAACAGCATTGCCAATCTTAGTTACTGATTAAGAAAACTTCATAATAAATGTTTTTGTGATCAAAAGTCTGGCAAATTGTATCTGACAACACTGGCTTTTTTTCCCTTCTATTTTTATTCCTAAGCTCTCCTCATTT